ATCCTTGTTACTGACACGATAGTTTTCAGGCTCTTGGTTTCCAGACTGTTGCGGGCGACGCCAAAGTCGGCCTGACGAGTTCATGGTCCCAACCACCGCCGTTGACCGCCTCGCTCCTCAGCATCGCCCCGAAGAGGGGACTGGCCGCGGCGGCGGGCCCCGACTACGTTGCCTTCGCCACGACCGAGTCCATTCGCAAGGCCTTTGAGGCGCCCAAGGACGGCGATTCGGACGTGCGCGGCTACGAGCCCCAGCTCAAGCTGCCCATGAGCATGCGCATCTCGCAGCTCGCCTTTACCGCCGACGAAAACTACCTACTGCTATCGGCCGAGTCGGGCGGCGGCCTCGCCGTCTACGAGGTGCAGGCATTGCTGCAGGGCTCGACGAGCGCGGCATTTGAGCTGCCCACCGGCGGCCAGGCCCTCCGCGCCCTCGCGCCCAACCCGACCGCCGAGAAGGCGGAGCTATGCGCCATCGTCACGCAGTCGGGGGAGCTCTTCATGGCGAACCTGCGTGAGAGACAGCTCAGCAACGCGCTCAAGTCGCATGTCAGCTGCATCAGCTGGAGCGCCAAGGGGAAACAGCTCTGCGCGGGCCTCGGCGACGGATCCATCCACCAGATGACGCCTGAAGGACAGGGCAAGGCGGAAATCCCCAAGCCTCCAAGTCTCGGAGACTGTCACGTCTCCTCTCTCACCTGGCTCGAGAATCATGTCTTCTTGGCTATACACTCTACTAGCGACTCTCCGTCAGCCTCTGTATATCACATCATCACCCGAGAGCCTCCTTCGTCATTCCAGTTCCGAAAGCTTGCCGATCCCGTTGAGCCATTTGGCTCCGAAAAGACGCCTCACCACACTATCCTGCGTCTGCGCAACTTTGATCCGGACTTGCAAGAACTGCTCATGGTCTCCTCGACAGCTTCTACCGACGTCGGTCTGCTAACTCGATCCAAAAAGGCACTCGCCAATGATTGGCCAGCGGACCAGATTACAGGCGTGTTTACAACGACGGAGCTTCTGGATGATACGAGGCGCCCAACACTTCCAATGACGGATTCAATGGACGATTCCACGCCAATCGGTGTTTGCCTGGATCTGTCAAGTAAAGAGAAGGTATACCGGCCGATCCCTTCGGACGAGGAAATTACGGAATCACCAAGCCCGCTTCCGGGACTTTGGATACTGACGCATGAAGGTATTCTCTGTGCTTGGTGGCTTGTATATACGGATTCGATCAAACAGGGAACCACCTACCCTGGTCTTGCTGCTGCCGCTGATTCGACTGCCATGGCGCCTCCAGCCACTCCGAAACCCGCGACCTCTCCATTTGCTCCCGGAAAGCTCCCTGCCTTTGGTTCTACTGCACCAGCCGCACCGGCGTTTGGATCTACTACACCTGCGGCGCCAGCATTTGGCTCTGCTTCCGCCCTGGGACAGAATACTTCACCCTGGGGCTCCGGAGCCGCAGCCACTACTACGCCGTCGCAGACAGGAGGTGCCGCGTTTGGGCAGAGCAGTTTCGGCAACGCACCGTCGACACCGGCGCCTGCTTTCGGAAAACCCTCATCAATTGGCTTTGGCCAGTCGTCCCAGCTGGGAATGAGAACCTCGCCCTGGAATGTTGGCGGCGGCAACTCCACGCCTGCATTTGGACAGTCGGGCTTCGGCAGCTTTGCCAACAAGAACAATCAAAGCCCGTTTGGAAGTGCAACAGGTTCGAATGACAACGGAGCTAGCCTCACGTCTCCTGCTTCAGGTGGCTTCTCAAGCTTTGCTAAAAGCACTGGTGGCTTTGCGGCCGCTTCAAATGATAAAGCCGGTACGAGCGTCTTTGGCAGCGGCGCCGCCAAACCAGCAAGTAATCCTTTTGCTCCCACGACTCTGGCTGTCGATAGCCCTTTCACACCTAAGGACAAGCCTGGTGGAAGCGTATTTGGCTCCACGCCCTTCAAGCTCGAGAGCTCGTTCAAGCCGGATCCATCGGCCAAGGAAGATGTTAACCAGCCCGTAGCTTCTGGATCGATGTTTAGTAGTGCGTTCGGATCGGCGCTGACAGGCGCTGGTAATGGCGCGGACTCTTCCAATGTCATCGCCAAGGACGATGAAATGGGCGATGATGACGCCGCGCCACAGGCACCTGAACCTCCAAAATCAATCTTTGCGACCAGATCCACTCAAGAATCGACGACCCCGGCTAGTACCCCGGCGCCAACTCGGTTTGGGGATGCCACCTCGCCAGCTCCGGGCACATCTCTTTTCGGACAGCCCACAAAGCTCGGCGGTTCTTTCTCTGGAGGCAGTCTGTTTGGCCCCAAGAAGGACTCGCATGAGCCCACGCCAGCTCCTAGTATCTTTTCCCAGACTTCAGCTGCTCCCAAGACGGAGCAGCCTGCGAAGAAGGAGCTCGAAGCACCGCTGCCTCCCGACGCCACTAGCAAAGTATCGTTTCCTTCGGGTGTGTCCTCGTCATCCTCTGCCTCCACAAGTTCCACTAACCAACTGTTTGATTTCGCCCCTTCAGCGAAAACGAAGCCAGGGGAGGCCCCTCTCCCCCCCTTTTTGGTCGCGCCAAAGTCCACCAAGCCTTCGGACAAGCCCGTCCAGGAGCCCCCGTTGCCTCCGTTCAAGTTGGCGCCGAAGGACAAGACTACAGCCGACCCTGCGCCACTCCCGCCTTTCCCGGGACCAAAAACAACAAAGCCCGCCCAAGAAGCGCCGTTGCCTCCATTTCCCTCAAAAGAGACAGCAAGCCCCGCTGAAGATGCACCTCTGCCCCCAATTGGAGCGAAGAAGACAGCAAAGGCGGCCGAAGCTGCTCCCCTGCCTCCATTCCCTGGACAAAAGTCCACAAAGTCCGCCGAATCTCTATCATTGCCCTCTTTCACCCCGGCACCGAAAATTGGGAAAGGAGCGCCAGCTTTTCCTTCCGGGGAGACATCGGTATTTAAGTCAACTAAGCCAACAGGGCCAACACCAGCGTTTGTGGCACCAACGGGTCCGCCCCCACCCGACTCTGACGATAGCGACTTCGATGATGAAGAGGATAACGATAGAGAGGACGACAACGTAGAAGAAGTCGAAGGAGAGGACGATTACGCCGAGTCGGAGGGAAGCGGTGTTGATGTTGCCAAAGATCTCAGCCCAAGCACTACCGGTCTTGTAGAGACACCCGGTCTTACGCCTCAGAGCTCCTTTGGTGGAATGGCAAGCACGACTCCCGCGACAGCACAGCCTGCACAGAATGCTAGCCGGCCTCTTTTCGGTGAAGTGGCTCACAATGCGCCTCTTTTCGGCAAACCGAAGAACAATGCAAGCCCTCGATCACCTAGTCCTCTGCGCGGTGCTATTCCAAATCGCGTTATCCGCTCTGAGACTTCAAGATCTGTCAGTGCTCCTGGCATGGCTTCGCAGATTCTTGGACATAAAAACACTCAATCACATCTCGCTCAGTCCATTACGAGTCGCCAGCAAGAGAGCAGCGATTCGTTCCTGGCTCAGCAGCGAAAGCTCCGCGAGCAGCAGGAAGCAGCAGAGGCGAAGCCACTTGTTGACGAGGAGGATGAAGAAATCCAAAAGATCCTGTCTTCAGAGGTCGAGCCCACACTTGTACTGGATGAATTTATTGCCCATTCGAACGTGGCTCCTCCAGCAGAGGATAGCATTCCTGCACAAGTTGAGGCTGTGTACCGCGATATCAACTCTATGATTGACACTCTTGGCCTAAATGCCCGAGCCATCAAGTCGTTCACGCGAGGACACCGCGAAACCCACGGTGAAGGACCTCGCAGTATGGCGGATCTTGAAGTTGCTGATGACTGGGTTCTTTGCGAGACAGATGACTTAGAGGAGGTACTTTCGGGGGAGCTTCAAGTAAACCTTGAGAGTGCGCGGGTCCAAGATCTTCCCGGAAAGCTTGAAGCTTGCCAGGAGCTGGCTAAGGACATGCATCGGCTGCGTGCCAAGCAGGAGGATCTGAAGAGAATTATCCTCGCTCGAATGGACCCCGACCAGGCAGATGTTGCCCGGTCACTTCCACTCAGCGCAGAGCAAGCCGCCCAGCAGAATGAGTTGCGCCGCGAATACACCAACTTTACGAAGCTGCTGGCCGATGCTGAGGAAGCTCTTACGCTACTCAAAGCAGGCATCGCCTCCGCGTCGGGTACTTCAGGCAAGGCGGCAGGGCACGGGTACACGGTTGACGCTGTGATCCGCACCATTCACAAGATGACCACCATGGCGGAGAAGCGCAGTGGCGATGTTGATGTCCTGGAGACTCAGCTACGCAAGATGAGACTGGGTTCCGTGGGCCGCGAAGAATCACCGATGACGCCACAGCAGGCCCGACGCAGCCGCGTGCTCTCGCCAGAGTTGACGCCATCGCGCACAGTGCGTCAGAGCATCTCGTCCAACGGCGGTCTGTTGTTCGGCCAGTCGGTGCGCGCGACGCCGCCGAGGAAGAAGCTCAGCGGCTTCAGCAAGGAGGAAAAAGGCGATCTTATGGATAAGAGAGCCAGGAGGCAAGCGGTACTGGAGAAGCTCCGGGGCAGCGTGGAGAAGCGTGGAGTCAACGTCTGGAACATGGAGGATGTTGAATAATACAATCATAGCATGTACTGACGCGAATTGGAGTTTTTCACGCGTTGTAGTTTAGACAACAGGATAATACAAATCCTCGGATTAGCGGATTATAGTAGGAATTTTATACACTTGTTGCGATGTGCTCATGTTTGCTTGTCTATGGCACTGTCTAGTGATTGAATATTCAACCCTTCTATCTGATTGGACTTGGTGAAACGCTGGCAGTAACGAGTACATCGGGCAAGCGAAGCTATTTACAAATGTATTAGGATGCCAACTTGTCGTCATGCTAGTAGCCAAGAAATTAGAGCTGTATTAAAATGGATTATACAGACTGAAAGCTGGTGGAACTAGACCTGAATGGGGTCAAAGACTGGTATTGGCTCCTAGGACCAGATTAGCGACTATTTGGCAAAATCTGGGCCTGTGGTCTAGGGGTATGATCCTCGATCCGCACCGTTGCGGCGACTTATTATAGGTTGATTATTGAGTGGTCCGGGGTTCAAATCCCCGTAGGTCCATGTTTTTTTTGCTTTCGACGAAATTCCTAGCTCGTTGCTCAACCTTTCGAGAGATGGTATCTCTTTTTGCCATCTAAATGGGCAATTCGACCAAGTTATTAGCGGGATTTCGATTCATAAGGGTTCTTGTCTTACCTGGTTGTTATATAAAAGGATAGGGTGTTGGCGGAGCGCAGCACGTCCCCAGAAGTCGGCAACTGCAACTTTTTGGAGGGGCAGCCAAAAAATTTCCAGCTGCCGCAAATTGCAAACTTGCATTCAAGCCAGTTCGCACACCATGGCTCCCTCGCAACAAGCAGCATGGCGCAGTGCGCCCGATGCCGAGGAGCTGGAGCGTCGAAGAGTACGTGTTCATTCTTTTTTCTGCATTGCGACGGCTGTGATGACGGCAATGCTGCAACTAAGCAGCTCTTGGGAAAAACTCGAAGCCATCGATGCGAGCTGTAGCGCAACGACTACAGCAAGAATCCTCACAGCTGACCATGTATTATGAATGATAGACTGTGAATATCAACAAGGAGACTGTGTCCAATATCAGCTCCATCGAATATCCTGGCCATGTCCCTGGCGAGGACGCCGCCTTCACCATCGAGCGCTTCCAGTCCGACTTTTCCGTCAACTTTCACCAAAACGAGCAGTTCGACGCCTCTTTTTCGCTCGTCGGCCTCGATGCCTCCATCGCCAACGCGTTCCGCCGCATCCTGATTGCCGAGATCCCCACGCTCGCCATCGAAAACGTCTTCATCGAAAACAACACGTCGGTGATTCAGGACGAGGTGCTGGCGCACCGTCTGGGCCTGATTCCGTTCAAGGGCGGCCGCGAGGGCCTGCTCGACTTTCTCAAGTGGCACAAGAAGCCCACCGACGGCGGTGATGATGACGATAATGCCGGCGGCTTCGACTACGACACGGTGCGCCTCGAGCTCAACGTGACGTGTACGGCCAACGCCGAGGCCGCGCCGGGCGAGACGGATCCGACCAAGGCGTACCATCACGCACACGTCTACGCCCGCGACATTGTCTTTGCGCCCATGGGCGAGCAGGGGCGGTACTTTTCCGGCGCCGACGCCATCGCCCCCGTCAACCCGGACATTCTCATCGCCAAGATGCGGCCCATGCAGACCATCAACCTGTCCATGCACATGCACAAGGGCATCGGCGCCGACCACGCCAAGTTTTCCCCCGTCGCCACCGCCTCGTATCGCCTGCTGCCGACCATTAAGATTCTGAAGCCGATTGTCGGCGTCGACGCGGAAAAGTTTCAGGGCTGCTTCCCGTCAGGCGTCATTGGCCTGCAAAAGATTACGGAAAAGAACGCGGTGCCCGGCAGCGGCCTCGAGGACCACGTCGGCGAGATGCGCGCTGTTGTCGAGGACGCCAGCAAGGACACGGTTAGCCGCGAGTGCCTGCGCCATCCCGAGTTTGAGGGCAAGGTCAAGCTCGGCCGCCGGCGGGACCACTTCATCTTTTCGATAGAGAGCACCGGCCAGTGGGACAGCGACGAGCTGTTCCTCGAGTCGGTCAAACACCTCAAGATCAAGTGTCAAAGACTCGAGAAGCAGGTCCTCAACATGGTGCGGTGATTTGGCGGCATATTGTCGGCGTATTTTTGTTTTTATCTTGTTTGAAAATCCATTTGTTTCGGCGCAGAAATTGTAAAAGTCTACAAGGGATGCTTTTTTTGCCATTTTCACAGTTTTAGATATATACTGATGCCTTGGGCTCTTTTTGACAAAGAAACGTTGGCAAAAATACACACAAAACAATTGAAAAGATGATACCACGACTTGCAGTGCTGTCATATTCGTTCTTTGTTTTTCAAGCCAAGCATGAAGGATGCAGAAAGCACTCGCTTACCCAACACCGCTTTATACACTCCTCGCCAATGGTTAGTTGTACTTGTATACATGAATCTCCGGGTTTCCATCTACGCCGGAAATTGGAGAAAAAAGTTAAACTCGAGCGGATACGCCGTGTCCGTGACGACGACCTGCTGCCCATGCTCAAGCCCGAGCTCCGCCAGCGTCTTTTCCAAGTTGGGCCGGGTCTGCTTCTCGAGGCCCTCGGGGGACTGCATGTACAACGTCTTTCCCTCGGCGCGGATTGAGGGTCGCTTGAGCTGGGCCTCGGGGCGGACGGCGAGCGAGTCAAGGAGGTCTTGCAGGGTGAGGCCGGGGTCGACGGGCAGCGGGCGGGCTTCGTTGCCGCAGACGGGGCAGTCGTCCTTTTTCTCGTGCTTGAAAGTGTAGGTATAGATGCTGTCGTTGCCCGAGTACATCATGTAGTTGCTGTCAAAGCCGAGACAAGGCGCTGCCGTGGTGGCAATCTTGAAGGCCTCGTTGCAGCAGGCGGCGGCGATGATGGCATTTGTGGAGGCGATGGCGGGGATGATGTTCTTGATGGTGCCCTGCGTGAGGGCGTATGTGACGCCAGAGATGCCAAACTCTTGGGCGCGCGCAAGCGCCTTCTCGTACAGCCACGAGACATGCGCTGGGTCGTCCTTGTCGAGCTGGGCAAAGGGCTTCTCGCTGTCCCAGGCGATGACGTGAGCCCACTCGACGCAGTGCTCAGGCTGGCGGGGAATGGCGGCAAGAGTGCAGAGCGGAACGGCGGCACGCGGGGCGTGCATGTCGAGTTGGCACTCGATGCAAGAGGTAATGGTGGGGAGGATGACGCGGGCCTGGCCCTTGAAGCCCTCGGTGCCGCCGTCGACGAGGGGCTTGATGCCGTCGGCGTCGCCGGCCTCCTCGGCAATGGACACGAGCATGGCGTTGATCCAGCGCCGCGCCTCAATGCTGTCGAGCCCGCACACGACGAGCTGAAACTGCTGGTAGAAGCTGGCGTCGAAATCTTGGATGCGAGCGTTGTGCGCCGTGATGGAGACGCCTTTAACGCGCTGCTCGACGAAGCGCGCGGCGACTTCGGCCTTGTATTTGCCCACGTCGGAGCTGCGAAAAAGAAACTGCCTGTTGAGATTAGAGATGTCAATCGTGTCTGCGTGGTATGTATTAGTCGATGTTGCTGTTGCGAGTGGGTGGCGAGAACAGGTAGAGAAGCATACCCATATCTATAATGTGTATGTCCTTGAACTGGGACATGGCTAGATTCTTGAGAATCTCGCATCCTAAGCCGCCAGCACCACTGAAGGCAGCAATTAGTCTCGGATGAGTCAAGGGCTGGAAGCAGCAGCTGATGATGCATACATGACTCTAAAAGACTGGTTAATCGATGTATTGCCTGTGCGGGGTCCGTCACGTACTCACAGGACCTTGAAGTTGCTAAACATCTGAAGAGACGGTTCTGAGATGGCATCGGGATCGGTATAAGGGCCCGCAACCTTGCGGATTCTGTCAATGTACGTCCTGCGTTGTCGTGAGCCTTGGTGATGGTGAATGGGTGGTGCTTGGCGCAAACAGCTTGGTGCATTCTGTCTTACCATCGCGCTGCCTCACTCCCAGGCGGAGCTGCCACGTCTGCAGCCATCTGTTCCAGTTCAGATAGGCCTTTCTCGTCACAAAATGTGCAGGGAATGCGCGGGCTGGCAAAGAGTGCTGGGTGTGATGTAGATGCAAGATTTGAGATGAGGTTGATGGGAGCTGCCGCTGCACGTACTGTAGTGAATCGAGTGCCAGTGGAACCGAGTCGGGCAGCCCATGTAAATATTTGACCAAGCCGGTGAAGCAAGGCGACTGTACAGGCCAGACACTCGTCATTTCTACTTTGAGATTGTATACGACAGGACATCTCTTCGATGTTCGACTATTGGGGGAAAAAACGTATCTTTTTTTTCTCATGAAGTCCTCGAGAGGCCTCAGTTGTGGTTCAGCTACAGTGGCAAGTAAGTGGTGGGCAAACACATGTTGGTGGGGCAGCGTTTGACGAGCTTCATCCCACAGCGGCATGCCAACGGCTGCTTTTCAACACTGCAACGCCTCTCTGGCTTATTTCTTCCCGCTCCCAACAGTCCGCCTTTGCTTGCCAGCTGGTCAACTGTCATGGGTCACTATCTAGAACAATAGCGCTGTACTGTCTGAGGAAACCCCGCGCTATGGACGACTTTCTCACTCCGCTCAGCACCACATACCTCAAGGACAGGGACGTGGTTGAGCCAGTCGACCTTGCACCAGCAGCGTTGGAGGAAAGCCATGCGCCCGTGGTCATCACGACCTTGGACGAAGCTATCGAAACTTTCAAAAATCAGCCAGACTACAACTCTCTATTATCGACTCTCAAATTTTTATGCGACAATTCGGACACAGTCACGGACAGTCCTAGTCCGCATCTCGCAGCTGTTGTCCATCTTCTCGTCACCGAGGTCACTCCCAACTACTGGACTCTGCTGCTTGAATCTTCAACGCCCTCATCTGATGGCTCCATCTCAGAAGACAGCGATGCTGGCCTATTGTTGCGTCTTCTCAGCAACCTCACAGGTCTCAAGGCCATTGTCTCTCACATCAACTCTCTCTTGGCCGAGGCCCGACACAGGAGGAAGGATGTATCATCACAAGACATTCATCTTCATCTTTCAATATTTCTGGATGTGTTAGCTTCCCTTCTCCGAGGACCTAATTCCATTCGTCGGATATGGATTGCTTCAGTACAAAAGCTGCCCGATGCTGCAATGAGAAAAAGTCAGTCACAGACTTTGAACAGCTTGCTGGCGAGCAGCCGCGTGCTTTCAGTTGCTTCAGAGGCTTCGAACCTTATTGGACTCGACAAACTAAAAGACACGACTAAATATATTGCCGATGGTCCAGAATACGTCAGATGGATTTCCACCAACATCGCATCCTGGGCAAAACTAGCTTCTACGGATCTAGAATTTCGATCTTGCTCTGATATCATGCAAAGAGCCATGTCTATAGGATACCAAAATGACTTGGTCAAATTACTTGTCGATGAGCTTTTGCTTCGCTCCGACTCAAATCCTGCCACCCTCATACACGTCTGCTTCCAGCAACCTGCAACATTTAGAAAGGTCATGCAGATCTTACTGGACT